CTTGATAAATAAACCAATATGGCTGCTTCAGTGAAACAAAAGTATTAGTTAATACTAGTAAACACGAATTGTGTATAGTTATATTAGTTGAACCCGAAAATGGTCTATGATGTCCAGATTCCATCGATTTTTAAACTTTTAAGTACCAAACTTCTCGTGGGTCTATGACTTTGTTACAGGGTCACTAATAACACATGAGTCACACAAGGAATGTAAACAAAAATACCACCAGAAGTGTGATTAATCCCATTAATAGCTGCTGAGGTTCCCTATGTATTTTACAAAAAAAACACAAAAAAACGAGTTCACCTAATTTTTTGTCAGTTCTTTACACTCATTATGTTGCAATATTTGGGTTCCACCAGTAGTGTTTGTTTTAGCGCAAAACTACATAATGGGGATCCGCCACGAGGATAGAACGTCGAATTATAACGTTGTAAACCTTCAAGCTTACCATTGTGTCACCAAACCAACCAGTAGTGAAAGACTAGATGGAAGGCAGCTAGTCATCACCCCCCCCCCCATCGCAAACTCTTGAGCTACTCTTTTACCAACGATCAGTGGTATTGACCGTAACATTATAATGCCGCCACGGCTGATAGGGCGAGCATGTTTGGTTGGACGGGGATTCGAACCCGCGACCCTCAGATTGCGAGTCAAGCGCCCTAACCATCTAATCCTGCCGGGCCTTCAACCAGTAGTAAACGGCATGAAAACAAATCGGTTACTTGAGGGTTAAACTTTTATTAAATGAGAAATACTATAAGAGTCTTTGCTTGTTTGTTGTTAGGCGCAAAACTACATAATAAGCTATAGATTCTATGCCCACCATATGTATGGAAACCCGATTTTTAGTGTTATAAGCCCATTGGTTTAAAGCTGTCCCACTAGGGGGCTTCTGTAAAAGTAATACACTTGTTGAAAGTGCACTGCAGTCTTTCATTTATTGACAGAGATACAACATATACTTATTGATATCATGTTAGGTACTAACGTGTTCACAGATATACCACACTTGTGTATAATTCGTGTTTTTTCCTTAAGATGTTGAGTTCCAGGTTTATATTAACATTAATGCTTTTACTTATTGACAGAGACACGTCATTCACTTGTGTATAACTATATTAGTTCTGTAATTTTAAGTAGATGCATTTATTTGTTTATAGTTGTTATGTTTACTTTTTTTTATCTATGTATAGTCATATTAGTATGTTTAATAAGGATAGATTGCACCTACTTGGATATAATTATATTAGGTTTCTGCTTTTTAACTTGTAAATAGTTGGTTATAATAGTTTTTTGTTTGTTTGTTTGACAGATACAAACTGTGTTGACTCTTGTATAGTTATACTCGTTTTTGTTTTTTACTTGAAGACAGAGACACCACACATACTTGTGAGTGTAGTTATATTACTATTTTAAAATGTTGTGTATAGTTCTGCATCCATTTCTGTTTGCTTATATAAGTTTAATAATTGCTAAAATATATTCTATTTTGATTTATGCACAGCATGATAACTTTAACACTCTTTTACAATGTTTTACTAATTTGATGATTAAAGTGAATTGCTAGTGGACATTTTTCAAATGTAACGCAAACACTGGAGTAAGAGAAATTGTCTTGCAAAAAGGCGAACACCACGAGTTCTGTTTGTTGGATGGACATAAATCATATAATGAACTGCTCATTAAGAGTTTCAGACAAATCCGCAAAGACGTTTAAACGCGTTTCCTTAAGATCGTTTTATTCACTATACATAAGTAGAAAACTTGTTTGTCCAGGTGATTGAAGCGTGTAATCAACATGACTTGGGTTCAGAATGATCAATAAGTTGTGCAAGGCATGTATCATGTTGCAAGATATGTCGCTGATGTTAGATAATGTTTCCGATTTTAAGTTTTGGTAACGAATTATTAGTTACAGTTGCTTGTTTTATTCTATATTTTCAAATAACATAAATGAAAGAAAGCTTGTCGTTGTTGTGTTTCAAACGTATCTTTATGTTGTTTGTATGGTAGCGGTTCAACGCTTAGAACATGGGCATGTTGAAATTTGTAAGACCTGTTACTGGTTATTTCAACCTAGAAACGGTTTATATATGTCTTCCTTTATTGAAGCGTATACGCCATTGTGTATGAAAGGTATTATGTAGTACTAGGGCTGATAAGATTTTGTAGCTCTGACCTCAGAACAGTATTTGTCAGTATAATTATTTCAGTACATGTATATACAAAATAATTACAGCCAGTGACTTACATTACTTCCCCACCCTTTGAATCCCATACACGAACATGATTTGTGAGAAAACTTTGACACCTTAGGGTAACGTTCATAGGAAATGACACTGTCCCCTGTGAACGAATGAACACAAGTAGATAGGACTAGAACAACAGCTTGTACAAAAGACAACTTTTAATTTTTGAAACAGATATTTAAAATGTAGAAGTGCAGTACAGGAAAGCCCTCGAGGAGATTTTCAGTCAACCGTGGTCTCGTAGTGCAGAGATATAATTGACGTTGTTAATTGGTGTTTGAGATAGAAGCTGCTTTAAACCGCAGGAAGTCTGCAACATCGTGTAGGTGCAGGTGTGGTATCTAAAGTCAAATAGTTCCCACGATTGTTCAATCTTTTATTACAGTAGCCACTATTTTCTCAACCCCAAACACCACTGGAACAATAAAGAGTTAATAGGTAGTATCATAGCCTCGACGTTAATTGTTCTGTTAGTAATAAGGAGACACCGATATCTTTAATAAATTTCGATATAGATTATTGGTTGGAATATATGTTTGAGAGCGTGATGGTCTTTTCCTTCAAGCTTATTATCATTATTTTTACTAGTTGCACTTCTCGACATGCAACGTGTGGGTTGCTTGACAGTAGTCAAGAAACAGGTGCAAATTTTCGCACAGTGTTTGGTAAGTTTTTATCGGTCTTCGTCAAGTCTAATTGTCTTTCTTCACACAATAGGGAGATTGGTTTATGGGATTAATTGGTTTCTATGACGTTATCTGACGTAGGCAATCGGGTAATTTTAAGTTTTTAAAACACTGTGGCATTGTTTCAATTTGGCTCAAGTAGCCCAGCTGTATGCGTATTATGAACATAAGACAACGAATTAAATATAACTCAATGCAGATATTATCTTCAAGACCACCTAATGGCGTTCGCTTCTCAAATTAGGCATCGCCCTTTTGAAGCATGTCGATATGACAAGAGATAAACAAAACGTCTTAGTCAACAGCAATAACGATAGAAGCTATAGCTAGATGAGCGCATGTACTTTTAGCACAATGAAATTACTTTATAGGAAGAATTTGTACTTCCTGCCTTCAATTTTAGTATTTGAAATAACTGGAGTCATTATGAAACGTCATTCTCATTTAAATTTGCTCGCAATCTGAAAGTAGCGGGTTCGAATCCCCGTACCACCAAACATGCTCGCCCTTTCAGCCGTGGGGGCGTTATAATGTGACGGTCAGTCCCACTATTCGTTGGTAAAAGAGTAACCCAAGAGTTAGCGGTGGGTGGTGATGACTAGCTGCCTTCCCTCTAGTCTTACACTGCTAAATTAGGGACGGCTAGCGCAGATAGCCCTTGTGTAGCTTTGTGCGAAATTCAAAACAAACAAACAAACAAAGAATTTAAATTTGAAAATTTAGCATAAATGTTCCACGAGCCTGCCAGTAGATAACAAGAACTACTGTGAAATCTCATAGTCAGTGTTATGTTTTTGTTTTTTGGTTTTTTCTAGAGAACGAAAGAAATATTTTGAAACAGCTTGAAAACAATAATACTTCACAAACATGAAATATAGTTAATTTTCAAGTTTAAAATCAGTCATTTATAGCTTATGTTACAATAATTATTTATTTTTTTGCAACAGTCGGTGTAACGTTGATAAAGTTGTAATTATTAAATTGTGGGATCGCCCGTGTTTTTACAAATCCTTAAAAAAATGCTTTGAGTTTTATTCTTGTCCCAATGTGCCCGTTGACTCAAAAACTTTCTCTGCGATTTGAATCCATGGCTTCGCTATAAAAATGACCACCAAATCCGATCATTCATTCACACAAGAATTGGCGGTGGGTGTTGTTGTTGACTAGCTGCCTGTTGTACTATCAGTTCAAAATTGTGGACAGCTATGCATAGATAACGATTTGTGTAGATTTGTGAGAAATGTATAAAACAAATCAATAAACGTATCAAGAATTTAACAAGAATATTATTTGAGAAGCAAAAGTACCCGTCCCCAGTGACGGGAAATGTTGAAGTTAATTTAGCAAAGTACCCTTCCCCAGCGACGAGAAACGTTTAAGTTAATCTATCAATTTCATGGAATTTAAAAATGTTAATTGTGTTGCACTCTTGGATTCACTCAGAGCAAAAGTATTGAGCTACTTATACCGTCTACCGCAAAAAGTAATTGTTAACCATTTCAGTCATGCTAAGAGCCGCTCAACAATTACATATGATAAATCTACATTTTTATTCTTTAAGCTGAAAAGTGAAAAGTGATTAATTCCTAACAATTTAGTGTAGAATATACTGCTTTCGAAATAAAATTTGGCATCAACAATATTCATGCCTGTTCTTCCGTCATTTCAAAAGTGAATGTTGAGCTTCGCCTGTTTGCGCAGTTTTTAAAACGCAGCGTGGGAAGCTGCCGCCGTAAACGGGAGACAGACGAACGCTCGGACAGACACCACGGTTCGCAATATTTTTTATAACATATAATTATACCAGAAATTACTATACAATACAGAATTAAACTTTTAGTAAGAATCTGCATGTACCTTGGGTATATTATTACATCTGAGTTATATTTTTGTGTTTGATTTTTAAACGCAAAGCTGTACAATAGGTTAGCTACGCCATGCCAACTGCATGGATCGAGCTCCGAATTTTAGCGTTACAAGCTTTTGGACTATGAGTTCTGTCTTCTATACTTAACAGCTTTTCAATAGTTTAATATGAGCGTTTTTTCTTCTTCTTCAGGTGAATCGACCGCTGACCATGAAGAAAGAAGGAATCCAAACACGTAATAGGAAACTGTCTGCCAAAAGTAAGAAGAAAGGTTGCATCGGCCTCTCGGACCGCATCAAGCCATTGGACAAGCCATTCTCCAGTTTTACCCCGACCGGTCACTTGGGAGCTACCATGTCTTCTATGCCAATGGCTGTCAGTCATTACATGCAACAAGGCAACATGCCCATGTCAATGGCGGGTTATGTTACATCGCCACCTATGCATATGAGTTCAGCAACTGGGTTTTCTGGGCTCTCATTGTCCTCTGGAGCCCCTCTGCCTTTAGGCACAGGGAGCTTAGGTCTACCTACTTCAAACAGTATGGTTGGTGCCATGGCTTGAACATTTTGGGTGAAGATCTACAATAATTAGTGACATAGAATGTGACTTGATCTGGAAAAAGTTTGAATCGTGTCAACTAATAGGAAAAAAACTTTACTGTTTTATTGTGGAGAAATCAAGTGGCCTACGAACGCTCCAGCTACTTCCCAATGTATTAATGTTATAATCTGCTACTAATTAAACAAATATTGAGCAGAAGGTACCTGCTGTACCTAATTCCGTAGACATCAACGAATTGTGCATAATGACAATGGAAAGAATATGTAAATTACTAAGATCTTTCAGATAAAGACTGTTAACATCATCTAATGGTCTTCCGAAGAAGACTTGAGTGTACAAACAAGGTCTTCCTAAAGTAATATGAGTGGTATTAGAATAGTTAACGTTTCATGTTTGCAGAAAGGTCATTTTAATATTAAATGAATCCTGTGTTTTAGGATTTTTAGCCATGTTCAATCTTAATGACGGAAGAGATCAGTGCTAAGATAAGAAGTAAGGAATCTTACATTAAAAGCCTATATTTGAGAACATTTTAAAGACCAATGTTTTTATGTTACATTTCCTGAACAATTTACCTGTGTGACAGCTTGACAATTACTAATAAAATGAGAGGTTCTAATGAGTAGACCTCACGTCGGCTATACTCATAATTCACCCAACTCAGTGTTCATCTGTACATAGGACTCTGCAGCTAACCTAATATTTGTGTGTTATGGTTTCGTAGAAATAAAAATAGTGCAGGTTCGTTTGTTGTTTAAGCTATGTTTAGGGGCGATCAGGGCTGTGTACTTTGTATGTCCATGATGTTTGTACCAGTTGAAGCTACAGCTGTAAGCTTTCCTTCATCTTCCTACGTTGGTACAAGTAATATATATTATAGAAAGTTCCTTAAGGCTCTTTGTGTAATGTAAATACCCTCAGTTTTATGTGAATTCAAATAAAATTTCAAAATAGAACCGACTTTCATTAACTAAATATTTAAAATAACTAAATATTTGTTAACATTTACGCAAGTTCTTTATCGGTTGCGCATAGTAAAACTTTTGTTTGTTTTGTTCACAACTTTCCACCAGTTTCATTAAATAAATGTAAAAAATACGTAAATAGTCGTTAACATTTACACAAGTTCTTTATCGGTTGTACATAGTAAAACATTTGTATTTTTTTTCACAACTTTCCACCAGTTTCATTAAATAAATATTTAAAATAACTAGATATTTGTTAACATTTACACAAGTTCTTTATCGGTTGTACATAGTAAAACATTTGTATTTTTTTTTACAACTTTCCACCAGTTTTATTAAATAAATATAAAAAATAACTAAATATTTGTTAACATTTACACAAGTTCTCTATCGGTTGCGCATAGTAAAACTTTTGTTTGTTTTGTTCACAACTTTCCACCAGTTTTATTAAATAAATATAAAAAAATAACTAAATATTTGTTAACATTTACACAGCCCCCCAGTGTCACAGCGGCATGTCTGCGGACTTACAACGCTAGAATCCGGGTTTCGATACCCGTGGTGGGCAGAGCACAGATAGCCCATTGTGTAGCTATGTGCTTAATTGAAAACAAACAAACATTTACACAAGTTCTTTATTGGTTGTGCATAGTAAAACTTTTGTTTGTTTTGTTCACAACTTTCCACAAGTTTCATTAAATAAATATTAAAAATAACTAAATAGTCGTTAACATTTATACAAGTTCTTTATCGGTTGTACATAGTAAAACTTTTGTTTATTTTGTTCACAACTTTCCACCAGTTTCATTAAATAAATATTAAAATTAACTAAATAGTCGTTAACATTTATACAAGTTCTTTATCGGTTGCACACAGTAAAACTTTTGTTTATTTTATTCACAACTTTCCACCAGAACTGGCATCATCAGGTAAGCTATAATAACTACTGAATTTTGAGTCGGGCGTGATCTAGTTTATAGCGTGTCTGGCTATCATTCTGAAAATTCACGGTTTGCGATCCATTGTCGAAAAAATGCACTTCGCAATTTAGGGTCATTGTTGTGTTATAAGAACAAGAATCAAATCCTACTATTCGGTCACACAAGAGTAGCCCAAGAACTGACGGTAAATATTGTTTACTAGCTGTCTTCTATCTCTGTCTATCATTTCAAAATCAAAGTAGCTTTGCGCGAAATTCTGAAACAAAGTAATCTACATCTTTAACAGGAAGCCTCTACCTTATTTTAAGGATGTTTTTCTTCAATTACAGTTTCAATATCACCTTAGTTACTGGAATATTAATACACCTCAACTGTTATTTTTTTCTTTTATCTTTTTAATCTTTCACTGCCACATTTCATGATAAACAACTTTGTCAAGTTTATTTTGAAATACACATAAAAAATTCAGAGACAGAGTTAACTTTACGGACTTACAACGCTAAAATCCGAGGTTCGATTCCTCGCACTGTACACAACTGATAGTTCAATGTGACTTTGCTCTAAAACAAACATAGTAAAAATAAAATGACATATGGTTTAATGATTTATGATGTACCTGAAACTTGACACTTGTAAACTTTGAGAAATTCGAAGCATAATACTCTTTCTTTTAAAGGGAGTAGAAAATTTCAAACTCCCATGGCAGTGATCTATAGATCTATTTATATATGTGTACATTCAATAGAGAATTTTGATTTATTTGAGTAGAAAGTACATCGATTATGATAATCAACCGACATTGTAACAAGAATATCATATAATGTATTACAATATGTTAATAAATTTTATATGTACAAACATTGATTTAGAGTTGAATACAGGGTGGGTAAGTACGTGATATCCACAGCTATATAAAGTCACGGTGGGACTGCATGTATCAAAACTACATTTTAAAATTGTTTGGCATTAAATATGTAGTATGATTCCACTGAAAACTGATCATTTTGGAAAATGTATGTAACAACCTGTTTTCACACAAAATATTCATACATTCAGAGCATAAAGGCGTGTTAAGATCGGGAATTTAGAATTTCTAAAACTGGATGTCCCTCATACTTTATTACTTTGTACAAACGAAAAAATATAGATCATCTTGGAGTCCCTGGACCATTCAATAAAAGATTTGTAACAAGTCGTAGCGCAGCCTAGGTAAGCAAAGTGCGATGTATTGTAACAGGTAAGAATCCACAAACATAAATTTCAGTGACTAAAGCTATCCACACGCCACAGTCAACGAACACACAAATCTCAAACACATTTGTAACATCCTTTATTTGACTAAAAAGTATTGACTATTGTAAGGATTTTGTAAGAGTACAATACTTATTTCTAGCTGCTTAGTGTCCAATCAACCAGAAACAACGAGTAGAATTTCAATAACGAAAAATTGTACTTATAAGCAGTAGAGAGACAACTTCCATCTGAGCTAGTGAAAAGTAACTAAAATTAACCTTATACAGCACTATTGTATAAATATAGTTACATTGAAAGTTGACTACTGTAAACTGTCGGCAAGAGCTTATATTAACTGAGTATTATAAACTTTAACGTAATACTGATCATGATAAATGAAATAAGATTAATAATCGTTCATTAATAAAATCTGAAATTTTAATATCTATGGTCCTATCTGTTAGAAGTATCTATTCGAGCTATGGTTGCTCAAATAAGAAAGAAGAAAATAAACAGTATTTGAAACTTTCCCCTTTACTAATTTCAGCCCTTTTTGCAACATCTCCGATTAAAAATATGTAAATCATAAAATTTTAACATTTCAAAGAAAGAAATATTTATAGTTTTGAAGTTTATTGCTAAAACAAACGAAGGTATAATTCCACCAGGGGAAAAACTGGCTACTCACAACAGGCTACCAGTCGCATACCGGAGATAATGAATAAAGATAAACAGCTTGTCACTAGAAGAAACTCAACAAACTCGCGATCCATTGCAACTAACATAAGAACCTCCCTTTAAACTGTATACAATGTAGTTCGTGTGGATTCAGGCATTAAAGGTGAAAAAAGAGTCTTGCTCACAGGCTTTTACAAAGGCAAATGGCCGAACGAAAGTTGTAAGAGCGGTATTTACAAATTGAAGTATGTCTTGTTTGTTTAAATTTTGTGCAAAGCTGCTTGAAGGCCACCTGCGCTAGCTGTCCATAATTTTGAAGTGATAGACTAGAGGGAAGGCAGCTAGTCAACACTACCCACCACAAACCCTTGTATACTTTAATCAAATTGTGAGATTTGACTCTCACTCTTTTTAATTACTCTCAACCTCAAAGTGTGAAACACTGTCGTTACATTTGATGTAGATCATACATAATTACATGTTTGCAAACGTCTGGGCAATTTATTATTATCTTGATGATACAACATTTCAAAAATTGTCCAGGGCATGTTACAATACTTTTCCATGGGATGTATGGTGGTTGGAGGTTACAGATGTAATGATGAGTTAAGCATTCGAAGAATCGAGAAAAAGGCCAAGATGAAATCTGCATACTATCAAAAGAACGTGCTGATCCTACTAAACACCATCTTTTTAGCGACTGAATACCAATAACCATGGCTCCTTCCAAACGAAGCATCCAGCCATATGTCCGAAACAGCATGTAAGTTCCTCCACAAAATGTAAGTAAACGTAAATTCATGCTCTATCGTTCTCAGACATTGCCCGTGAACTTTTTTCTTTGGATTGCTCAAACAAGCCCTCGAAAGTTGTTCTCTCACAGATGTTGTATTTTTGAAATCATGTAAAGACCAGGGAGACAATATTGGAATCAGCTAAAGTCGGTAGCCAGAGTCATCACATAAAACACTATTAATAGTAGAAAAAAGAAGCTGTAAGGTATATACACCTATTCCTGTACCATTTCCATATATTGTGAACACCCGTTTGTTTGTCATTGGGATACTAAAATTACTACTTTTTTTCCATTTGTTTAAATAATAGTTTAGGCTTTACCATTTTCAATTCAACAACAAACACACGTTTATGCATATTTTTAGGTGTTTTCATATATAATACTTGCTTTTATTTTTTTTCCATTTTACTCTTTCATGTAACTGACTAAGATTTTTAAGCAAAAAATTATACAATAATAATAATACCGTTATAATATGAGGGTTAAAAAATACATTGATAAATTAAGAAGGCCAACATTCGCGGGCGAATGCAACATGTCTTTGCCACGCAATGGCTAATTTTGACACCAGAAAAATCATGAAAAATACAGTAGGTATCTTTGTAACAGATCCCATGTAAATTGGTCAAAATATGGCAGACTATTTAACTAAAAAACCCCAAATTATGCTTTTTGTGAGCTCTGACCCTCCTAAAAAAACTCAAAATAGGTAAATCCAACTTTTTTATGTCAGTGTGTTGGGTACAAGAAAATTTATACTTGTGCCAATTTTCACCTTGATTGTTGTAAATATGATCGCACAGGAATCCAAGATATACATTTTGGGGTTGTTTGACCTTTTATCCCATAAAATCCTAAAAGACGTCTAAGTCAAAACAATTAAAAAGTTGACTGGGCGAATTGGACCAAGGTATAATCCTACCAAGTTTCAAATCAATCCGCTGAGAAATGGAGGAATGGCGATCGACTGAAACGTGTTAGGAAGAAGAAGAAACAATATAAAAACAGTATGTCTCTCTGAGGAAACTTAATAATAACTTAATGAAACTGAAACTAGAATTAGAATGAGCATTTGTCAGTAATGTACTATAAAATAGAGTCATAGCATTTGTCAGCATTACAAAATGTAGACGTAGTAATAATGTTTGTTTGTTTTGAATTTCGCGCAAAGCTACACGAGGGCTATCTGCGCTAGCCGTCCCTAATTTAGCAGGGTAAGACTAGTCATCACCACCCACCTCCAACTCTTGGGCTACTCTTTTACCAACGAATAGTGGGATTGACCGTCACATTATAACGCACCCACGGCTGAAAAGGCGAGCATGTTT